CGGCGACTCCAGGGGAGCTCCCCGTTTTCCGCCCCTTTCCCAGTTCCTCTGGACGGGAGATGCCGTGGACCAGGCCTGGGATTTTGGGGTGCAGAGCAGGTCCCCCGCTGCTGAAATCTGACTCTCTCCACCAGCCGAGAAAGCCCTAAAATAGGATCGTGGGATTTTTTTCCCCAAGTGGAAACAAACGGGACTCGGCGGCCGAATTTTCGCTTCCTTGGGCCCCTTTGCAATCAGAATTTGACGTCCTTTTCCCGGGCGGGGGTGGAGGGAGCCCGGTCTACTTTTTCCGCGGCTTCCTGGGAGTTGATTTATTCGATGGTTTCGGGGTGAAGTTGGTTCTTGGGCTTCCAGAAAGCGTTGCCAGGAGTTTTAAAGAGAGGTTTCAGGGGATGTGTGTAGGGCCGGCGGCTTTGCAGAAACGGGAGGGAGGCTGATCGATCAAGGTTTGGTTTTGTGAAAGATTCTGACTATTGCCCGAGGCGGTCAGCTTGGGGCGATGGTCCTGGCAGGACGGAGCAAAATTGCTTATGTCTGAAGTCGCTGTGTTAAGTAAGCCACAGCATCAAGGGAAGAAAGCAGCGAAGTTTGTCCCGCAGAACAGATTTTGAACAAAACCTGTCTTTTATACGATCGTTAATAAACGGGTCACCCAAAGGAAACCAACCTCGCCCAGATGTTTCTAGCCCTTTTTTCTCATGAAAACAACTTGGATTGGATCTTTCCGTAAGAGTTCTGAGCTGGTCTTAGGAAAGAAACTACTTTCTGCCCATTGTGGTATTTCCATCAATTGCTTTGTTTTGTAGCCACGGTGTATCTAAAACCCTCTGTCGATTAAGGGGAGCCTGGCAAAGAACAGAGAAACAAATGGGGGGGGGCAGAAGGAGGCTTAGAATCAGGATTGTAGAGCTGGAAGCGGTCAGCCCCACCAGGTAGACCAGACCAGGAAATCCATTGCACAAGGAGGCTAAAACTACTTTTATTAGATGGGTTATAATACCAAAATCTTGCAAGTCTGATTGTGTAGGGCCTCTTCCCCCTTCTTATACTCCTGTGAATCAGGGAGGGGTCTGCCTGAGCCGGGTCCGAATATCGTCAGCCCTCCAAGGTAGACCAAACTTGGGAACCAAAGTCATACAAGCTCATATTATTTTTATTAGTTAGAGTAACAGAATCTTGCAAGTCTGAATGTGCTTCCCCCTTCCCTCTCTTCATGAGAACAAGGGAGAGTCTTAGCTGAGATGTTTTCTCAAGTTACAGTTCTGCCCTGGATCCCTCTTCCTCCTATTCCTCAAGGTTATTCCTTCTGGCCATTTTTTTTTTTAAACTAACAGGTTCTGCATCCTGAAAAAGTTTGAAATCCCTTGATCTGGAGCTCTGAGGCCCCAAAGTTCTGGAGCAACCCCAAAAGATTCATGATGCTTTAAGCAAGATTTTTCAGTTGCAAGGAAGAAGGGAAGCAAAGAGCAAGCTTGCCCCGATCTGCCAGGCTGGGCCACTTCTCCTGAGTGTTGCAGAATTAATCACAATAAGCGGTCACGGTGTCTTCATGCTTACAACTTCAGAAGAGTTGTTCTTCCTGCCTCCTGAAGAGTCTTGGCCCTGAAGAGCCCCCATGTCCCCTTCTGTGGAAACAGGTCTGACAGAGCTGTAAGGGCAGAGAATGAGAGTCAGAGGGACTCTGGGGATCATTTAATCCATCCCTGGCTAATGCAGGAAGCCCCAAGAAGTGCCCTCTGCCTACAGGTGTACTGTTCTAACCTGAATCGTTCATTTAGAACCGTGTTTCTCAACCTTGGGAACTTTAAGATGTGGGGACTTCAACTCTCATGGCTGGCTGGGGAATTCTGAGAGTTGAAGTCCCCACATCTTAAAGTTCCCAAGATTGAGAAACACTGATTTAGAGTCAATCCCTTCAAAGAATTGGATTTGATGACTAGCCCTTGAGAGTTAAGCAGGCAGCTATCCTCTCTGCCCTCATCTAACTTGGTTTTAACCAGGTGAAATGTACCAATCCATCCACATTCTCTTCAGCCATTCCTGGAAGGCCAATCCCATGTGGATCAGGTGTGACTGAATCCACCTCATGTTTTTCTAGGTCATGCTTTTTAGTCTGGTTTAAGATGTTGGCTACTCCGGTTAGTTTTAGAAAAATCTTCCTGGATGTGCTGAAGAATCGTTGATGGGTTATATTAAAGCTGAACCAAAGTGGTTTTCACTTTCTCTTTCAAAGCGATTTTGCAACACAGATGCATCTCATCTGGAGACAGAGCGACCATCTGTGGTGGTAACCTTGCTTGCAAATGAAAATTGTGGAAGGTTTGACTGTGAATCAGGTTTTATTTTGCCATGGTGGATTGTGTGGGATTTCTAGTGAATGAGTGTGAGAAAGTGTTGATCTGATTTATGCATCTATCTAACAAGACTTTGGTGCTGCTCTGCTCTGGTGTCTCACACAATTTCCTTAGGTCAAAACTGCTGAAATCACAACACACAGTTCCTTATGACTTTGAGCCAGGGGGGGGGGGGGAAACAGCCATAATGTAAGCATGGAGCTAAACTCCCTCCCATCCAACTCAATCCCACTTGCATATTTCTTCTATTTCCTCTATGGAAATAAAAGTTAACCTTTGAAGAAACAAGATAGAAAGAATATTGACGTTTTTGAACTGTAGTGTTGGAGAAGACTCCTGAGAATGTTGTGGACTGCCAAGAAAACAAACAAATGGATCATTGAAGAGATCAATCCTGAATTCTCACTCAAGGCACAAATGACTAGGGTCAAATTATCGTATGCTGGACACATTATGCGAAGACCCAGCTCTCTGGAGAAATCCACAGTGCTGGAAGGGTGGAAGGAAAGAGAAGAAGAGGACAACCAGAAGCAAAGTGGATATACTTGATTATAGCAGTGCACTGTTGGAAGATCCGAAGGACCAGGTTGGGAATAGATCATCTGGAGAAGGTCTATCTATGGGGTGTCTAAGAGTCGACCCCAACTTGTTGGCACATAATCAGTCAACCAATCAACCAACCAACCAACCAATCAACCAATCAATCAATCACAGATCCAGTCTTGATCCCACCTCAAAGCTCAGGGTGACCTCCCCCAACTGTCTTATGACTGCTAATGCAGGAGCTGGTGACTTCACTGGTTTAATTTCTGTCCGCCACACAGCAGCTAAGGATGCAGGGTCAAGACTGGCCACCCCTGTCTTTATAAGGCCAGAGTACCACCATGGTCCAATCCAAGGATGCCAAGCTAAAGGGAGGGGCAGGGTCATAAGGCCCCGTTGCTAGGAGATAACGTTGGTCATAATCCGCTGGGGACCCTCAGCAGGGAGGTCCAGCTGCTGGGCAATGGGAAGGGGGGACAGGAAATCCAAGCTGGCTAGTGCTATGTCTGACTTCTTTGTCTGGTTCTGTGACTGGGGTCCTTGCCAGAAGGCTGCTCAACCACCCAAGACTCTGCCTGCCGAGGGGGGCACAATGAAGACTTCAGCTTCCGTCCCCCTCAGGCTGCCGACATGCAAGAATCCCGCTGTAAAAAAGCCGCCGGTCCTGGACGGCCCAGATCATCCCAAGCGAGCCACCAAAGGCCACCAAGGGACTCTGACCTCCGCTCGCAAGGCCCCACTGAATAAGGAAGCTGCCGTGTCCAGAGAGCATCAAAATGTAGTCTGGAAGAGGTTGTGCTGGGCAGAGGAAAACGAAATGGGACCGGTTGCCTGTCAGCAAGGCAGTGCCACCGGGAAGGGCAGCAGTTCCTTGGCGGGAGCGGCCCAAGTCTCAGGGGGCCGTGGCCCGCAAACTTTGAGCATTACCGATAAACAGCCGTCAAGGGCCCCAAATGCCACGATGAGAGGCGTGCGAAGTAGCCTCCACGCGCCTCACGTGAACGCCAAGGGAGACCAGCCTGGGATGCCCACCAAAGCCACCGCTGGGGCCTCCAAGTTGGGCATGGCGGTGGGGCCGAAAAAAAGCAAGACATCGCAGCATCATGCTGTCCTTTCCAAAGGTATGGGCCTCTTGATTGCTCAAGCAACCGAGCCCACCTGCAGGCAAACAGAAGCTGCTCTTGTTGGGTTTGATTTAAAAATAATAACCTGAAACAAAAGGGAGAAAATGCTGCTGAATTTGGGACCTTTTTCATATTCCCTGCATCTTTGGCTGCCGAAGTGGGTTTTTCAATCTCTCTCCCTGTCCGTGGATTTGAAAATGTTTGAAAAAGCTCCTGTTACAAAAGGCAGCATAAGGTTTTGTTAATAGGTGAACATAGTGATGGCTCTTGGAAGTTCCTCTTACTTGGCTGAGGGAAATCATTATAATTTATTGAATTTGTATGCTGCCCAACTCTCAATAAACTCCCAACAATCAAACCATGGATTGGTTTGTTGGCTTTGACCTTAGAAAGCCCAGTCTTCAAAGATGTTTATTTTCCTTTAACCTTCATACCTTTCAAATTGTGTCTTCTGAAGTTGTAATAATTGTCTTTTTTTTTTTTTTTTATGATTCTGTAAACTATTCTGAGAAAGCTTCAGGCTGAGAGGCTTGAAAGGAAATACAGGTTCAAACTAGTGTGGCTCTTCCTGGCTTGCCAGAAGCATTAACATGTTGGTTTGATGTCTCAGGTCGTGGCTGGACAGTGGCACATGGAGATATGGATCACAAGAAGAAAACTATCCCTAAATCCATCAGACCAAAGTTTCCCAATCTGGTAAGTCACCAACTGAATAAATGACTCCAGGAAGAGTGAGTAGACTACAGGAAGTTGGCTATGGAGTATGAAGGTCAAACAGGGATTTGAATCCACAAGGCTAGTCTGGTCCCATAGGCATGATTCAAAATAAGTAGAGTTTGTAAGCTGGTTTTGAACCTATTTGGGAGTGGGACACAGGGGTCTATGCAGGAGGGAGTTAAAAAGGTCAGGATGGTGGCCCCCGCCCTGCAGTCAAAGCCCTGTCTCTTTTCAGTGTGCGTTGTGGCACATATAAAAAGGGTGGGATTCTGCAGCACGTCCACCATCTTGACTTTGTTCACCTCCAACCTTCAGACACCACTGGTGGAACCAGTTCTGAGAGCCAAATCTTGTGCCTCCATCATCTCTTCCTTGCTAAAGTGTGATGAGATCTTGGACGAAACATTATTAAGAAGATCCCAAGGAGAGGGGCTCCGTAGCCAATATTAAGGTGGAGTTCATTTTTCCAGAGATCTGATACAGAAACAGCAGATCTTGGCTGTTTGTGGGGCGTTTCAGCTGACCCTTCATCCCTGCAGAGTGTATATATTTGTAAATAAATGCAAATACAGTGAAGCACCAAACCATCAGGGAGCCAAATGTGCCTCTGTGGGGTACAGCAGGGGTGAGGATTGTAGGGCAAAAAGTCAATTTGATTTAATTTCCAAACATTTAATCAATGCTATAGCTTACTCACCATTGATTTACTTCATTCGTTATGATTTAGTTATCTCCCATCTCTGTCACCTTAATATTTACAATTTGGGGGCAACTTTTAGAAGAACTCTGGAAATTCGATCCACATTCTCTGGATTTGTACCCCGTTCTAAAAGAAATCCAATTTGGGTTCATGTTGTATCTCCAGAACTTCTTATTGCTTGGGGAAACACTGGTGTAACAAAAGAGAAATTGGCCTGTTAGTTGCTAAGATTTTATTATGTTGGTCTATGACATAATAAAGATTTGATTTGAGACTAAGATTGGGAAAGCATCAAATATTGGCACGTACGTGTTTTATTTTATTTATTTATTTGCATTTATCACAGCTGCCCGATGGACTCTGGGTGGCGTACAAAAGGAAACGAAATCCATAAAAACAGATCGAACCTAAAAAACAGAGCGTGGGAACAATGGCTGGTTCCCAAAAACGGGAGTTTGGTTTCTAGCATCACCTGTTTGCTTCTGGGCAGACTAATTCACAAGAGGTGCTAATCAGCAAAGTAGAAACTGTCTGGCTTTTGGTTTTCTACAGATCCAGCTATTAATCAAGGTGCTAGCAGAAGACTTTGGATTTGATGGTGTTCCTGGTCAGTTTTAGTAAATGGCTGAGCATGGCTGGTGACATTTGACACAGGGCAAAACCCACACACCCACACACAAGCATTTTTCTTGAAGTCCAGGCATGCAATTGGAAGGGGCCAAGAAAGACATTTGCCAGCTCTTCTTTCTGGACAGCGTTAAGTATTTCCGTGTGACGCCTTCAGAGCAAAGTCAGCTCTTTTCACTCTTTCACTTTCCATTCTGGCTGCTGCAAATTGTTAGTTCTGTTCAGGCAGGATTTGAAAGAGCACACCCTGCTTTGTGCCTAGGATAAACCGCCCGTTTCTTTCATGCCACGTTTGTGTGGATTTCTCTGGGTTACACATCGGTGAGAAGGACAAAGCTGCAGTGAACACAGATACAAGCAGTCAGGGATGGACGGGGTAAGTGAGCAGAGGGGATGGTGAGACAGAACTGGAAATAATTTGAAAACGGTACCTGTGGCTTGGTCTTCTGTGTGCATCTGCGTGCAGTGGGTTTTGATGGGGGCGTCTGTATGTTGGCTTCAAAAGACGAAGTGTTTTGGGATACCATCAAGATGAACCAACTGTATAATCTCATAAACTTCCATGTTCTGCTTCATTGGAAGTATGGAAGACGAAGCTTGTTAATTCTGTTACGTTGTAGGGGAAGGAAAGAAGGAACAGTTGTGTTTATACAACACGGGTCAGGTCGAGACAACGTTCGCCCAACGTGGGGGACTTGGTTTGTAGCCACCTTGGTTAGAAGCGTTCAAGTCAAGCTACTTGGGTTAACTTACTACTGTTCAGAATAATGCAGAAACCCGGAAAACGGGGGATTTCAGAAACGAAGAGAAAGGCGTTGTGTGAATGTAGCCATTTACTTCCCACGTCTTTGGGGCCTTTTGTGGGCAACGATGCTGCAGCTGGGGAGAACTGGATGCTGGATATAAACAGTGGAGTGTCTGTGTCTCACTGTGTGTGGGAAAATTAGAATAGAGGGGGGTTAAAAGGAGAGCTGTGGCCGGGGAGGGTCGGTCTCAGCAACTTATGGAATGCGGTATGTTACTTCTCAATAAAGAAATCTTTACTGGAAACAAATAGGCTCCAGAGGATTTATTGGACTTGGGAATTGAGTGTGCAGACTCTTGACATTCTCCATGTGCAACTCTTTGCCATGCCCGTTCATGGAAAACTCTGGAGGCTGCATTAGGTACTGGGTACACGAAACTTTGGGCCTCTCCAAACTCCTGCCTTGTGGGCATCTGTGCATGGGGAGTTTGGCTGTAATTTATTGATGTTTTGTGTGTGTGTGTGTGTGTGTTCATTGGATAGTTTATTTTCCTCAATCCCAGTGTGGCCACTGTCAGACTTGGCTGGCTGAGATCAAAGTTCTTCCTTGTTCTTTCGGTTTCACTATTTAATCTGTTGAAAGGGCAGCCTGCCCAACAAAGAAACACGTCAGCATCTGGTCAACCCTGATCCATGACAGATGACCCCTTCATGGGTTTGCCCAACAAGGCTTGTTTTCTTTTGGAGAGTATGATCTTCAATGTGGCAAGTGGATACAGACTGTGCAATATTTTAGGGGGCCGGGAAGAATATTTGTATGCATTTGTGTGCATGTATCTCCTAGGCTTAGTTTTGACATCATTCTCCTTCATTAAAAAAGAAAAAAGTCCCAGGAAAATTGGCCATCAAGCCAAGCGTTGAGTCTACAGTTGATTGCTTGTACATTTTGAAACACTAAGCCTTTGGCTGCAAGTGGGGAATCTGAGTCCATATTCCTAATATGATGTGCTCCTTTGGATTAGCTGGTTGTAAATAATGAATTGCTGGAAAAACTAATCGATCAGGAGAAATATTCCTCCAGGACATGAGAGAAGCCTTGGAATTGATTGAGCCTCTAATAACAGCTGCAACAAGAGCCACAACAAGTGTTGGTACATAACTGGGGTGTGGGGCAGGGGACAGGCACTCCTTATGCATAAGGCCTTCTCTGTCTGCATCACCTGCCCCAAACCCCTTCAAGAATATTTAGGATTATTCAAGCGAATGTTAAAAAAATTGCTGACAGGAACCCATTCACCTTTTTATGGGGAAAAAACTGCAAAGCATACAAAGAGTAAAAAAAGAAAAATGCAAACAATGGAACAATAATTGGCAATGCTGAGGAACAATGGGTTTCCACTGAATCTCTCTCAGCTCCCAAAGCAGCAGGCCTCTTTTCATAAAAGGGGCATTTGTTACTGTTCTGGAATGCCTCTTCTTTATCCTGGGTTATCCCATGACTCTGAGTTTTGTTTTCCAGCTCTTATAGATGTTCCTTTCGTTCTCAGTTTTTTTTAAAGCTTTGGTTTCCTATCTGTTTGCTGTAGCATGTTTTCTTTGGTCTTCTTTTATTCACAGGTTGATCTGGAACTTGGGGACTTGATTGAAATCTTCCGCTTGGCGTACCAGCACTGGGTGATCTACGTGGGAAACGGTTATGTCGTCCATCTGGCTCCACCAAGTAAGAAACTATCTCCTGGCTGGGTGGCCAAATGACCAGGCAAAACCTCCAGCTTGGGTTGCACTTCTACATTTTAGCCACACCTTTAACCCTGGGAAATTAGCAATGTTGGGCAGGATAATTTATTGGCCTGTTATGTTGTTAGAGTTCTCCGGGCTAGGTTTTTGGGTTGTAGATGTTTCCTTCCTATCCGGGGATCAGAGTTAGCAGTGACTGATGGGGAAAGAGATTTTGGAGTAAACAGTTCAATGAAGGGGTCAACATAGTCTGCACCTGCTGTAAAATAAAAGGTCAGTGGCATGTTAAGGATGAAAAGAAACAGTTTGGAAAATAGAGAAGACACTAACAATGGTGCAGCCACACCTGGAATATTGTGGACAGTTTTGTTGCTGCACCTCAACAAAGACATAGTGGAGCGAGACGAAGGTTCAGAAGAGGACAACTAAGATGATCAAGGGGGTGGAACAGCTTCCCTAGGAGGAAAGGTTGCAACATCTGGGATGTTTTAATCTATAAAAGAGGTGAACAAAAGGAGACATGGTTGAGGTGTACAAAATTATGCATGGCGTGGATAAGATGGGCAAGGAGAAGCTATTTTCCCCTTCCTAGAATACTAGAACCAGAGGTGACCCAATGAAATTGAATCCTAGAAGAATCAAGACAGACAAAAGGGAATATTTTTTTACACAACATGTAATTCAACTTTGGAATTCACTATCCCAAGATGTGGTGTTGGCTACCAGCTTAGCTGGCTTCAAAAAGGGGTTAGACCACATTATGGGGATCCATGGCTGTTAGTCTTGATGGTGGTGGGACTGCCTCTGAAGACCATCTGCTGGGAGTCCAAGTGGGCTTCCTTGGACAGTTGGTTGGCCCCTGGGAGAACACTGCTGGACTGGATGGTCCAGGAGTCTGATCCAGCAGGCACAGCTGATGTTCTTAATCAGTGCAAGAGTTGTGGGAAGTTGGGCAAGACTCGGTCTGCCGATCCAGCTGGTATGAAAGGCACAAGAGCCAAGCCAAGTGTTGTCCCAGGAAACTTTTGGTTTTGTAGACCTGGTGTGCCACGCCCAGTGAAACACGCAAAGTGGAAATCTCTTTAATAACTTTATTCTGCAGAGTAAAGGTCACTTGGGAAAGTGTTCCAGATCAAGCGCCCCGTTCCGTGCAAATCACTGGGTTTTTAAACAGCTACAGTCAGAAAATCATGACATCATAGCTTAGGAGCTTAGGAAATATGAGCGGAGCTAGCCAGAATCTTATCTATTGAAGTTACAAGTGCTTCTCACTGCATTCCATTCTGCAAGGGGGGGATTTTATTTCTCTCTCTAGCTCAGGGTTTCTCAACCTTGGCAACTTTCAGATGGGTGGACTTCAACTCAAGGCTGGCTGGGGGATTCTGGGAGTTGAAGTCCACCCATCTGAAAGTTGCCAAGGTTGAGAAACCCTGAGCTAGCGGATATGGGGCACGATACACAAAGGGAAGGCGATTTGAACACAGTTTGCAACTTAATTATCTGCTCAGCAACTAGTGAAGGACAATTCCGGGACCATCTGCTGCCTTCTTCAAATTAACCCGAAAATCACCCTTCCATCGCAGGGATGACATTGATCCCCTG